TGGGCCATGGCATGTAGGCAATAGCCTTGCCCAAACCTTTGCCAGTTCTTTAAGATATGATTGGTGTTGGGATCTCCTGGCCATGACTATTTGCCAGACCCACAGCTGCGGAGAATTCGCCACTGAGAACACATCAATAGCCCTCAGCGAGGACAGCGACGCCAACACCTGGTACGAGAGCCGCACTTCTGGTGCTACTTCACTTTCCAGCAGGACAACTGGGTCCCCATATTAGTGCTCATACAGCCGAGTCATAGAGCACATCTACACATGCATTCATGGGCTTTTCCTCATGCACATTAAATTTAGTACCTCCAATATGAGTTTTGTTTAACCCACTGTTAAAGACAGAGGGCAATTTGGAAGGGTTGTCTGTACAATGAGAGACGTGCAAACATCGTGGAGGCAGACACTGGTGCATGCAAACATCGCTCATTGAAGAGTACAGCCCCTGGAGCGTCCTTTAATCACAGACACACACTGGGTGTCCATCTGTCAGCAGCATGAGCTTGAACCCAAACCTGCCCTGCTCCAGAACGAGTGACGTTTGCACGTCCCATGTACAAACAGCCCTGCCTGGGAGAACCTAGGGAGGTAGATGTGGGCTTTCCTCGGCATCGACAGTAGCCTCTCGCTTGGGTCGGCACAACGTGAGACGCCGCTTCAGAGGTGCCCTAAGTGTGGGTGCAGAAAGTCAGAGAGAGGGAGAGAGAGACGGGGGGGAAATACCCAAATCAAAAGTGAACAGCCTCGCTCCTTGTGTGAGCAGAGAGAGAAATCATGCAAGCGTTTTCTACTTGCCACATTCTCCGCTGCAATTTGTAGGGAACTTTTTCAGCTGTTTTTACTCTAGTACTACAGTATAGTATCATGTAGCGCCACTACAGCGCACTGAGTTCACAAGCACTTTGAATCTGAAGAGTTCACTGAAAACATCCAGTCTGGAGCCTTTTCCTTTTGCTCACACCTGCGTTTTTCATCAACCCGTGTAGACGCACCTACGCCCTTCGTCTTGTATACTGACACAATAACACAGTCATTCATAAAACATGTTTAATGATCCCACCTGCTATAGAGACACCTGTACATATTAAATAAGGGCATGTATTCTTGATTGTGCTCTCCTTTAGATCTTAACTCTTCTATTTTTCCCTATATGAGATCTACAACCAACCCTTAAGTTCAATAGGAAAATGTGTACTTGCCATGCAAAAATTTCTCACCTTTTGACACTCAAAATCAGGAGCTGAGAAACCAAAGTTCAGCAGCAAATGGGCAGGAGGATGGCAAAGTCCAAGGCAGCAAGATAGACCACCAGAATGGGAGACAACGGAGGGAAAGTCACTACACCCCCCCAGGCCATGTGCTAGGGGAGGTCTTGGAGTCCAGTGACTACATCTGAAACGCTAAAAGCTCAGCAGCACCTAATCACCCTCAGGGGTATAAGTTATCGCCGTGTTGATCTAAGGACATAGGCAGACAAGGTACTTTGGGTAAATCTGATATTTTTTATTAGACCAACTCAAATAGTAGGAAAAATTCTTCTTTGCAAGATTTCCGGTATACATACCCTTTGTGAGGCAGGGAAAGCTGGAGCAGCACTGCTTGTGGGAGAGGGAAGGAGGGATCACTTCCACTCCGGGTCGCTCAGCACCCCTGCCCTCCCCTTCTCTCCAGCTAATGAACTTTGGTGGAGGATCAGACGCGTTTCCCAGGGCAAGTACCTCTGGCCACCCCTGACTTAGGGTCTACAGCTGCACTGTGGTCTTAGCCCCCCTGCCCTGCAAAGACTTAACATTTAAGATGTGATTAATTCATCTTAAGTAGTAACCGGCCAGACGTTTCCCCAGTAAAATGGAAGCAGCAAAATTGTTACTGCACAAAATCTGCATAACAACTTTGTGTTCGCATGCCGTCACCCCAGATAGTGAATGTGTTGCTGGTGAGCTCCTGGGGCAGGGAGCGCAGGTCAGCACCAGGCACCCGGCTTGCTACTCGGTGTTGCATGGATGGTGTCCCCAGTTCCTTCTGCACCCGCACTAGGGCAGCTGTTGGGATCGTGACACGTGGCAGGAGATGCAACTGCTGGGATCGTGGATCATATCCCATTGCAGCTTTAATTGAACGTTTGTCAGCAGCCTTAGGTTAATAAGCTATCACGCTTTCTCAGCCTCCATGATGCTTCCTCTGTCCATCAGTTTGTCTTTTGCCCCATAGCTCAGCCATCCCCACAGGAGCAGGGTCACCACAGGGGTTTGCAGCCGTTGGCATGGGTTTGCTGCAACGATGCATTTTAAGATCATTTAACGCAGGGTTGTCCGTCGTGTTTGGCCCCCGGTGCAATAAGGCCAAGCTAGACCCCTGGAACCAACCTGTGACCACCATCCCCTGCAGAACAAGCACCATATGCAGTAAACCCGGAGCAGTGCCCAGGTCCCATCAGGGCAGACAGTTCCTCAAAGCCCCAGGCAACAGGACCCCTGGCTTTAGTGCTTAAAAGCCAGGCCCAGCCCTGCAGCCTCCTTATCCGGGTAAAGCCCTGGCTCTTGACCTTCCTGTGCTTCTTTGCTCTTCTGGTTGTGGTACCTGGCTCTGGTAAGACCCTTGGCAGCGTCTGATCCCCGTTCCCTGCTTGTGATCCTGGTTTAACCTTTGGCTCTGACTTCTGCCCCGGGCTAACCCTCTGCTTCCCTTGTCCCTGGCTTCTGTACCGGGCTTGTCCTCGCTTTGGCGATGCCAGAGCCCTCTGGACCCAGTCCCTGGGAAGCTGATCTGGACTACAGCTGCACCCTGGGTAACTAATAGACTTGTGCAAAGCAGCAAATATTCAACTCGGATTTGGCTGATTTGGAGGGACGGTGATTCGATTTGGTGATACAAAGCACTGTCCCGATTCGATTCAGCTGATTCGGAGATTCGGCCATAGGCTAAAATGGGGAAATCACTAAAATACCTATAACTTTGTCATTTTTTGCAGATTCAGATAAAAACAGCAGGGGTGGTAGCCCTTTCTGAGGACACGAAGCTGCCAGGTTTCAAGGAGATATGTGCAGGGGTCTCTGTGAAAGTGCGCCTCAAACTGTTGAAAGCAAAACTCGTATCACTTGTGTGTGTTCAGGCCGAGCGGGATGAATGCAGCAGGGCTGGCAGCCCCTTGTGATGGCATGAGGCAGGCCAGGTTTCAGGCACAGCGGTGCAGGGGTTTCTGTGAAAGTGCACCTCACGTTTCTGAAAGCAAATTCAAAAAAGCAAATGCATGTAGAGCGAGGAGGGTGGCACTCAGTCCGCCTGCACGTGGAGCTTGGGGAAGCCCAGCAGCAGGAGGTTCACTTTTGGGAACACCAGCTGCTCCAGCAAAGCAGGATCCGAGGAGGTGCGGTGGGGTGTCCCGACATCCCCAGTGATGCTGAACACCTCTTGCTTGGAGCCACTGGTCTGTGGACAGGACAGGTGTTCCCGAGCAACTGTGGCCGGATCCTGCCACATCTGGCTGGGGTTGCCCAATAGGCCAAGGGGTTGCTGTGCAGCGGCTCCCCATCCCCG